GCAACATTCATCTATGATCGGGCAACTTTTCATCGCCGCTCGATAAGCCGATAACAAACAAGCCGCCATTTTGTGACCTAGTCAGAGGTGCACTGTTATGTAATCAGTACTGAGCAAAAAGCTAATATTAAATTCTTTTTAAAACTCAGAAAAAGCGCCATAGAAACAGTTGAATTGATGCAACAATGTTATGGAGATAATTGTTTATCTGGTGCACAAATTGTCAGGTGGTATTCACGATTCAAAACTGGTGTAGAAATGATTACTAATGCACCTAGACCTGGACACCAAATTTCTATTCGTAATGATGAACTCATTGCAAAAGTCAGAGAACGGATTCAAGAAGATCATTGTTTTACTATGATGATGATGGCAGATTAATCTAGTGTTAATAGAAAGACCATTCATAAGATTTTGGCAAGAAAAATTTGCTTGCCGGTTTGTACCACATTCATTGTCTGATGACCAAAAACATCAGAGGGTTGAGTACCCAAGAGACACCATCAAAACAAGAATTTTTGGGCCCAAAACAAGTGTGTGTTCTCAGCCTTGCACCCTTTTCCTCAGATTTGTCTCCCTGTAATTATTTTTTCTTCCTAAAATTAAAGTTACGATTGAAAGGACCCTTCTTTAACGATATTGATGACATCCAAAGGGCCGTAACATCGATTTTAAGGGCCATAACAACAGAAAAACTACAGAGGTCGTACCAGTGTTTGTTAGATCGTGCTACTTGCTGTATCAATGCACAAGAGGCTTACTTTGAATCAGATACAGGTTATGTCTTTACCTGTTGATTATTTTAATTTTTATGGAATCACTCATTACCAAATTGTCGGACCTTACATTTAATTCATTTAATTGCTTTTGTATTTATCTATTTTAATATTAAGCAGTGTTTAAATTATTTTATACAAACCCAACAGTGCATAATATGCTAATAACAATAGGATTTTTAAACAAATGGAAACAAATTAATAATTATTTTATTTCTTATGGCAAAATATGTTTGTTATATGTCCTGTTTGGTATACATCAAGGATCTGGAAAAGATTAAGGATGTATACCGAGGTATCACTGTATTATATATTTTAAAATATACATTAAAAGTTTTCATGCGAAAGGTTGTGTCGTAAAGGATGTTGTTATTACAGTCTATGTGTCCTGTAAGGGATTAATTTAGTGTGTCACAAAATTATGTTTATCTAAGAAGTCTGTCACCAACATGACAAGTTTGGAAAGCTCTGATGTAATGTCTGATATATACCTGGCTAGGTTTGGAAAGCTCTGATGTGATGCATGGTGTCTACCTGGCTAGATTTTGAAAAGATGTGATGTATGGTGTATACCTGGCTAGATTTAGGAAATCTCTGATGTGATGTGTGGCGACTAACTGGCTAGGTTTGGAAATCTCTGATGTGATGTGTGGTGTCCAACTGGCTGTGTATCGAAAGCTCTGATATGATGTGCGGTGTATACCTGGCTAGGTTTGGAAATCATGAGTTTAGAAAGCTCTCATGTGATGTGTGGTGTATACCTGGCTAGTTTTGGAAAGCTCTCATGTGATGTGTGGTGTATACCTGGCTAGGTTTGGAAAGCTCTCATGTGATGTGTGGTGTATACCTGGCTAGGTTTGGAAAGCTCTCATGTGATGTTTGGTGTATACCTAGCTAGGTTTGGAAATATCTCATGTGATGTGTGGTGTATACCTGGCTAGGTTTGGAAATCTCTCATGTTATGTGTGGTGTATACCTGGCTAGGTTTGGAAATCTCTCATGTGATGTGTGGTGTCTACCTGGATGAGTTTAGAAAGCTCTCATGTGATGTGTGGTGTCTACCTGGCTAGGTCTGATCTGTACACACCCCCTTCCTGTTGAGAGACTATACAATTGTTTTAACCATCCTGGAAACTTGAGGGACCAGGTAGTGAGGAAGATTAGGTTATTGATTGAACTATGGGGTTGGTTTTTTGGATGTGAAATAATTCTATAACTGGGGCTGTTTATGTTTTGTTATGCTAGATGCAGTAGCAGCTGAAATGTATTATATTGGAGGTAGGTTCACAATATACATTTTAGTGTACTGTGACTGTGTGTGAATGAATTAAAGGCTACATTACAGTTTTTTAAAAAAAGACAGTAAAGGACCCTTTTCCCTGCCTTCATTTGTAGTGGGCATAGAGGGCTAGACTTGTATTTTATAGACCGTGGGTGATGTGGTCAGCATCACACTGGTCACCTTTGTTGCCAAGGGCTGTCAAACCGGACGCTATTTTTTTTGCTTCTGCCAGACGGTGGCCGTTGCATGTTTGCTTAATTTTTAGACAGCAAGTATATAGTTTCATCACCCAGTTTCTGAGTTGAGTGCATGGCATGACACTGTGAGCTGCGGATTTTATTTAGAATGTTTTTCAAGTATGACCAACATGGTGGTGTGAATTGTAGATTCAGAAAATGGCATGATGCTTGTTGTCGCAATATTGGTGGTGCCATTATGTGATTAAAATTGATCTGCTGATCTGTTGGTGACTTCTGCTACCATCCATGATGAACTGCATTTCTAATGTCGGACTGTTTGTGTTAGCACCCCCCCCCCACCCCCCCCACCCTGTCAAGAAAAGTCTTCCACAATGATAGCATGGGATTTCAGGACCATTGTTAACAACATTTGTGTTTAATCTGTTTCTTTTCAGACGCTCAGCTCTCATCCTTTCTGCAGTCATTTCTTCCTTCAGTCTCATTCCCTTCCTGATATGCCCTTTTCACACAACACGGTCCATGGCATTTTGTTCCCATGAGTCCGCCTCAATACCTGTATCATTCATGTCTCGCTTGCATACATCTTTATAATGTAGTAGAGGTCGGCCTCGACATCTTCTTCCTGTCTTTAATTCACCATAAAGGATGTCCTTAGGGACTCTGCCATCCTCCATTCTCCAGGTGTGACCCAGCCACCTGAGCCTTCATAGACTGAGCATGGAAAAGACTGTTGTAGTACCTGCTCTTTCCAGTACCTCAGTGTGTGTGATTTTGTCCTGCCACTTAATGCCAAGTATTCTTCTTAGGCATCACATGTGAAAGCTATTAAGCCGTCTCTCTTGGTGCAAATAGGTTGACTTACTAGTTGATTGTGATATTCAGCCACAGTAAAAACCTTGCTGAAAGGGACTGAACATTCAAGAGATTGTATTAAAAAGATTTATGCTATCCATGGATTAATAATAATAATAAAAATCCATGCTGGGACCACCATTTTGTTTATGTTAACAAAATGTTCTTAAGCAAGTTTACATTAACAAGGTGTTACTGTATTTTACTTAAACGCTTTGGAACATTGGCTCCTTATTGTGAATTTTGACTGCCTTGTGACTTTTTGGAAGTAATGTTGCAGATTGCTTTATAAATGGAGATACTTTACACTGTACCATGAAATTGCAGATTTCTCCCACTATGTATTCCTCACACTGACTGTCTCTTTTGGACTGTGCTTTACTCTCTTTCTGTATGTTAATGTCTGTCTCTTTTACTCTCTCCCCCCACACACATACACACACATGTGCACACACACAAATAGAGATCTTATTAATCTCAGGGGCTTTATGGGCTACTAGGCGTTTCCACATCTTGTAGTGTTGTATCCACTGGCTAATATATAGTTAAATAGCAAGTTCATGACGAGGGTATCAGAGTGACAAGAATATTCTCTATAAACATAACGTTGGCTTGATTGTTGGTGTCTGTTTGGGAAACATATTTGCTATATATTTTACACAGGTATCTTCAGTTGAAATACATTTACTAAATATTTCCTTTGGGTGTCATCAGCTGTAATACATATTTGCTGTACATAACAGCTAGGTGACTTCCCTTGAAATACATTTGTGTTGTATTCTAATGTGTTGTATACTGAAAAGGAAATGGGGCTAACTGAAATTGTGAAGAAAAAAATTAAGATAAATTTTGAATATTAAACAGGAAAGGGATTTTTTTATATATATTTTTATTTTTTGGTGGTAAAGACATACTGTTATAGAGTAAAAATAAAGACATATGGCAGTAGAGATTGATTTGATTTGATTCAAGAACTGACATCACAGCACTCGGGGCATTCCCATAAGCGCTCCATCCCTATCTTCAGCAGCCAGCAAAGAGTTCCGATACTAATGATGCCAGTAGCTTTCTGATTAAACGTCCGTCTTGCCTTTCCTCTGAGCCTCGAGCATCTGCCAGAACATCTCGTCACTGCCAACTGCATCAATCTCACCAGACTGTGGTGATCCATCTGCTCCTCCGAATTGTACATGCTCTCCCACAAGGCACTAACCAGGTCTGCCCTATCATGTAGCAGTATTCCACCAAGTTGTGCAGAGCCAGCCAGTTTGTCCGCCTGTTCATTTCCCAACACACCGGCGTGACCCGGTGAAAAAATCCACACAATACTCCTCACTCGTGTCCTCCGCAGCGAAGCATGCTATTCTGCACGAAGCATACCTGTTCTGATCTTCCTCAGCATGCTTTCTGAATCAGTTGCAATCACAATGTGCGTGTGTGTCTTGTTCTCTAGCCAGTGGAAAGCTGCAGTGACCGCCTTCACCTCCATTCTTAAGCTGGATGTTGTGGTATCATATGCTAGGCTCTCCTGCACTAAACGTCAACCATTAACTTTTGCTAAGAAACCCCAAGGACTTCTTTTGCCTCTTGACACTGAACCGTCTGTGTAAATGATCAAATCCTCTGAGCGAGCATTATCTTGAATTAATTGCTGAATTTCCACCTCTGTGGCACCTGCTGGATATGGCAGTAGGAGAAATGTGAAAATATACATCACACTAAGCACAAACTCCGTAGACCCGGCAGTGACCCCCCCCCCCCCCCCCCCCCCCAGGGATCTCTGTAAAAATTACACTTATGAGCGATGCAGTGCGTGGGATGGGCCCAAAACCTTGAGAATGATTTGATGTAGTTTTAAATGAATAACCATGTTTTCATGCTTTGTTTCAGTGAATTCTGAAGTTAACGCCCGAAGGATCAGCAATGTCGAGCAGTGTTTCGGCTCTTCAGGACAGGTAAACATTCATGTGGTTAGTGATTTCTGTTAGCAAATCTGGAACTGGTGGGTAGTGGTTAGTTCTTTCTTATCATTAACTCATTCTTATCACCACAGGAGATTAAGGTTGAACCTGTAGCCGTGACATTACTGGAATGTTTTCCTGTCAGAACATGTCTGAGGTGATAGGACACACAATAAGTCTCTGTGGTGTAGCAGCTAGACACTTGCCTGCTGAGCCAAAAGTCATGGGTTCAGGTCCTGGGGGAGCCAGACTTAAAAAAAAAATATCTTGACTCCCAGGTCGCCCCAGCCTTCAGTGGATACCAGGTACAGTCCTGGGAAGTAAAGGCAGTGTGTCCAATAACATGGAAAAGGGTCCTACCCTTTTGTTTTTCTAGTACAGACAGTAGTCGAGGTTTCAGCTTCACAGCAAACTGGTCGCCCTGTAATTTCTCAGTTCTGTGCCAGTGAAAATCACATAAAATACCCCTCATATTCCCATTCAGATCATTAAGGATGAAAAGACCTCCCCAAACAGTTCATTACTCACATTTACATGGCCGTACATACAGATGACCTGGCCATATCTCTCCCCCTCCAGGGTAATGGTGAGGACAGACAACTATAGAGTAATGGTGAGGACAGACAACTATAGAGTAATTGTGAGAACAGACAACTATAGAGTAATTGTGAGAACAGACAACTATAAAGTAATTGTGAGGACAGACAACTATAGAGTAATTGTGAGGACAGACAACTAAAGAGTAATGGTGAGGACAGACAACTATAGAGTAATTGTGAGGACAGACAACTATAGAGTAATTGTTAGGACAGACAACTATAGAGTAATTGTGAGGACAGACAACTATAAAGTAATTGTGAGGACAGACGACTATAGAGTAATTGTGAGGACAGACAACTATAGAGTAATTGTGAGGACAGACAACTATAGAGTAATTGTGAGGACAGACAACTATAGAGTAATTGTGAGGACAGACAACTATAGAGTAATTGTGAGGACAGACAACTATAGAGTAATTGTGAGGACAGACAACTATAGAGTAATTGTGAGGACAAACAACTATAGAGTAATTGTGAGGACAGACAACTATAAAGTAATTGTGAGGACAGACGACTATAGAGTAATTGTGAGGACAGACAACTATAGAGTAATGGTGAGGACAGACAACTATAGAGTAATTGTGAGGACAGACGACTATAGAGTAATTGTGAGGACAGACGACTATAGAGTAATTGTGAGGACAGACAACTATAGAGTAATTGTGAGGACAGACAACTATAGAGTAATGGTGAGGACAGACAACTATAGAGTAATTGTGAGGACAGACGACTATAGAGTAATTGTGAGGACAGACGACTATAGAGTAATGGTGAGGACAGACAACTATAGAGTAATTGTGAGGACAGACAACTATAGAGTAATTGTGAGGACAGACAACTATAGAGTAATGGTGAGGACAGACAACTATAGAGTAATTGTGAGGACAGACGACTATAGAGTAATTGTGAGGACAGACAACTATAGAGTAATTGTGAGGACAGACAACTATAGAGTAATTGTGAGGACAGACATCTAAACCCTAAACAGTTCATGACAGATGACCTGGCCATATGCCCCCCCCCCCCCCCCTGGGTAATGGTGAGGACATAACAACGATATGGTAATGGTGATAACAGACAAAGATAGTGCAGAGACCAAGGTTTGATATTGGCATCTCATCATGGTTTCCATGACCATGGCTAGGTGTTTGTGCATGTGACCCTGAATTCTTGACCTCTTTCCCCAGTCACTTGTTATACCTGGGCGGGTGCTAGTCGGAGAAGGAGTATTAACAAAAATATGTCGCAAGAAACCCAAGCCTAGGCAGTTTTTCTTGTTTAATGATGCCCTGGTCTACGGCAACATCATCATTCATAAGAAAAAGGTAACTTTTTGCTCGTTTTTAACTCTTTTTTTTTAACTTTTTCTCTGTCTGCATATGTGGCTTAGGAGTTGCGAACACATTATGTAATGCCGGGTTTGATCCAAGCTGCAGACAACCATCCAGAAAGCAATGGCAAATTATTGGAATAAATTTGTGCAAAAACCACAACAGCCAAAAAATGTTGGAGTTGGTTCTGCAACATCCTGCCAACTTAACCATTGGAGACAAAGTCAGAAGTGATAACAATCATACAGACTGGGAACATCCCCTTGCACCAGATTCATTGAGATGCCAGAGGAAAGCCACCAGCTTAACCATCCAAGACAGTGATAAATTATACTATGAGACAGACTGGGAACAACACCATGTGCCAAATTTATTGACAAACAAACAATCAGATGGTTTGGTCATCTCATTAAAATGCAGCCACGACAACTACCAATGCAGGCACGACACATGAACAGATCTGATGTGAATTAAGAGGTAGCCCTAGGAGAAAATGGAATGAGGACATTAGAGACATATCGACATGAAATAAAATAGCCGTTGCTACCCATCAAGCAGTGTATCATAAACAGTTTCTCCCCACATCGCTTAATGGCAACCTGGAAATTGATCATGATGATGCATTTAAAAAAAAAAAGTTGCGATGGAAAAAGTTGCTGGAGGAAATACAAAAGTAATAAGTGAAATATTTTTGCTATATAAATACCACACTAGAGGAAAAAGTTAAAGACAAGACAGCAGTACTAGTGGAAGGATACCATCAAGAGTCTCAGTGTGTGAACACCCAGGGCAGAAGGAAAAGTATATTGGAAATTTATTGTAGCCTCTCTAATCTGTTGTAGCCTCTCTAATCTATTGTAGCCTCTCTAATCTGTTGTAGCCTCTCTAATATGTTGTAGCCTCTCTAATCTATTGTAGCCTCTCTAATCTAATGTAGCCTCTCTAATCTGTTGTAGCCTCTCTAATCTGTTGTAGCCTCTCTAATCTGTTGTAGCCTCTCTAATCTGTTGTAGCCTCTCTAATCTGTTGTAGCCTCTCTAATCTGTTGTAGCTGATTGATTGGTTGTTTAGGCCTTCCTTGATTGTTACAGTTTTGTTATAAATATTTCAGTATAACAAGCAGCATATTCTTGCACTGGAGAATGTCAAGTTGGAAAATGTCAACGACGAAGGCAGTGAGTTATCTAGATGTTGTTGTCGTGTTTTCTCTGACTATTTTTGTGTTGGGCTATAATAAGAAGAACTCCATGGCTGGAGCATGCTCAGCAGGAGTCTACTGTTCATTAGTAGGTTGGTCCCTAATCGACAGTTGTTTCGGTCCGTTATCCTCCTGGACAGTTTTAGCGGGTGGCCGATCTGGGTCAGGTCTTCCAGGCCACGGACATCTCCTGCTGCGCTAAATGGACATTCGGACAAGACGAAATGGTGGATTTGCAACAGGTATTGTGAGGTTTTGGTGTCATGTATTGTCGCTTCAGTAACAAATTAGCTGCTTACCTTCACGACTAGAGTGACAAGTGAACGGTTTGGTCATCAGACAAATATTAGACTTTGGCACTTGCCAGAGAAATACTGGCAGACGTTAATCAGACACTTTGGGCTTAAGGGATATAAAGTTCTTGTCCACTATGGGCCTTAACCAGTCTACCGAGGCCCATCTCCCACAACGTTCCGTTGTGTCCACAGCTAGCTCGAAGCCTTTTCCGTCACTTCGCCCAGTTGTTTTAGTGTCCAGTTACGCTCTTTGCCTTGCAAGCCTAGGTGCTTTAGTACAGTGCATGGAATACTGAGATGTTGGGCAGTGTCAACAATGAAGGCCGCGAGTTAACCAGATGTTGTTGTCACTGAAACCAGTCATATAGTTCATTAACTCTTTGAGTCCCAAGGAACGCATCATACGTTCGTAGGTTACTGCCTAGAAGCCCAATGAACGCATGATGCGCCGATTTTAGTCTCTTTTGACTACCCCTTAGGCCTGTGATGCTAAACCCTCTGGGACTCGAAGAGTTAAAGAACAACAAATAAGACGGTTTGGTCATCTAGCGAGAATGCCCTGGTACCAACTGCCACAGAGAGCCATGCTGAAGAAATATAATGAGCACAGAGCAAGGGGAAGACCACGCAAGAGATAAAGCGACACCATCAGGAGCAACCTAACAGAAATGATCACCAACTTGTACAATGCATTGGAAGAGCGCACAAACGAGCCTTACATCTCCCCCAACACCTCACTGAGGTAAATTTAAAGAAGAAGAAGTTGTCACCATGTTTTCTGTGACTGTTTTTGTGTTGGTCTGTGTCTTCTGTCCATTATCCTGTTGTGCCATTATATGTCGCACAGGGCTCACAGTCTATTCCTCTATCCTGTGCGATCAGTTTAATATTATGGATGAAATACAGTCCAGCAGCTTTGGCCTCTCTCATCAGCGTTCGTGTAGGTTTTTTTTGTTTCATCCTCACCTTCTTAATTCTTTATTTTCTCATTTTAATGCCTGCTTGGTGATTCTATGCTTCTGTACTGATGGTTAAATAAATGTATGGTTGCTTCATTTCTAATGTAGTACATGGTAGAGAATACAAGGCACAGGAAAGGACTTCATAGAGATATCGAGGACATGATAAAGACAGTAAAGGATTTCTTGTTCTTTTGCCTTGAATGGTTGAATTCAGAGTCAACATCACAGCACTCAGGATACTCCCATAAGTGCTCCATCCCCATCTTCAGCAGCAAGCGAAGAGTCCCAATTCCGATGGCACCAGTAACCGTCTGATTATATTTCCGTCTCATCTGTCCCCTGAGCGTTGGCCAGATTCCCTGGTAACTCCTCACTGTTCCTTTACCTCTGGTTTATAAATGATTTCGAATCTTCTTTTTTTGCCTTTTCATTTTGTCTTTTGTTTTTGTTGTCTTTTTAAAAAAAAATTCCTGAATGGAGGATCACTCAACTATTTTCTCCCAGCCCTCTTAGACTAACTTGCTGCATTGTGATGGAATGTGAATAGTCTATATATTATATTGTCCAGTTGTGACCTGTTGTCCCGTGTGGGTTCTAGTGCCCCACTGTAGGGAAAAAAATGAATAGACCCATTGCTTCCCTAACAAGCACGTTGTGAGAGTCAATTAATTAGAGGTTCCCTTCGCAGTCAGAGTGCATCTACCTGAGAGGCGAAAAACCAGCAGTCTGCATACAAATAAGCCAGATCGGTAAAACAGATGTTCATACAAAACTTTCTGGCTTAAGTCCAGAAGTGGACGAACAACCAGAACATTCCAGCAAAGTTTGCAGCTGGTGAATGCTAAGAAGAAGTAGTTGTCATTTCTTGTTAGGTTTAAAAGGTTGAAATCTTTCATTGAAAGGTTGCAATCTTTGATTCAAAAATTTAAAAGGTTGCAAATTTTCATTTAAAAGGTTGCAATCTTTGATTCAAAGATTTAAAAGGTTGCAGACTTTGATTCAAAAGTTTAAAAGGTTGCAATCTTTGATTAAAAGGTTTAAAAGGTTGCAGTCTTCCATTCAAAGGTTTAAAAGGTTGCAATCTTTCATTTAAAGGTTACTATCTTTCATTCAAAGGTTTAAAAGGTTGCAAGATTTCATTCAAAGGTTTAAAAGCTTGCAGTCTTTGATTCAAAGTTTTAAAAGGTTGTAATCTTTTATTCAAAGGTTTAAAAGGTTGCAGTCTTCCATTCAAAGGTTTAAAAGGTTGCAATCTTTCATTCAAAGGTTTAAAAGGTTGCAATCTTCCATTCAAAGATTTGAAAGGTCGCAGTCTTAAATTCAAAGGTTTAAAAGGTTGTAATCTTTTATTCAAAATTTTAAAAGGTTGCAGTCTTCCATTCAAAGGTTTAAAAGGTTGTAATCTTTTATTCAAAGGTTTAAAAGGTTGCAGTCTTCCATTCAAAGGTTTAAAAGGTTGCAGTCTTCCATTCAAAGGTATAAAAGGTTGCAGTCTTCCATTCAAAAGTTTAAAAGGTTGTAATCTTTTATTCAAAGGTTTATAAGGTTGCAGTCTTCCATTCAAAGGTTTAAAAGGTTGCAGTCTTTCATTCAAAGGTTTAAAAGGTTGCAGTCTTCCATTCAAAGGGATAAAAGGTTGCAATCTTTCATTCAAAGGTTTAAAAGGTTGCAATCTTTCATTCAAAGGTTTAAAAGGTTGCAGTCTTTCATTCAAATGTTTAAAAGGTTGCAATCTTTCATTCTTCTTCTTCTTCTTCACTTCCTCTTTTACTGCTGTAGGTGTCGAGGGAGATATAAGGTTCTGTCTCTAGCTCTTCTGGCCGCCTCGACCATAGATAGGCACATCGTGCTGTTGTAGAGTTTCTCTGATGTTATCCTTCCATCTTGTTCTTGGTCTACCTCGTGCTCTACGTCCTTCTCTTTCCATGTTTGCTTTGTATGGTACGGTGTCACAAGGCATTCTCTCTAAGTGGGCAAACCATTTCACCTGCTGTCTTTGAATGTAATTTAGAATTGGTTCTGTGCCGACTTTTTCTCTTATGATTTCATTCCTGATCTTATCTCTTATGGTCACTCCTACAGCCCTTCTCAGACATCTCATCTCCATGGTTACTAATTTTCTTTTATGGTTTGTTGTGAGTAACCATGTCTGGCACTGGTAGCACAGAGTTGGAATAAATATGCTTTGAATAAGATGTCTCTTTGTGCTGATTGTCTTATGCTGTAAGAGGGGAACTAGCTGTCCCAATACTTGGTTTGCTTTACTGCATCTAATGTTAATTTCTTTATCCAGTTTCCCATCTTCGGTAAATATAGTTCCCAGATATTTAAACTCAGATGCCTGTTTAATGCCTTTGCATTTTATTGCTATGTTTAGATCTGTCTTCTTTTTTCCTATTGACATTACTTCTGTATTTTCAGTGTTGATTCTCATATTATTTGTTTTACATTCTTCATTCATGGATGTGAGATGTTGTTGCAATTTCATGGCTGTATCTGCTATCAAGGCCTGGTCATCTGCAAAGAGTAATTCGTTTATCTTACTAACATTTTCATTCATGGGCTTGGCCTTCTTGCATATACTGTCAATGTAGGTGATAAACAGCAGTGGTGATAAGACACACCCCTGTCTTACTCCAGATGTTACTGTGAATGGATGAGATGGTTCCTGATTTATTCTAACTACACTTTACAATCCCTGTATAAACTTTTGCACACTTCGATGAGGTGTTCGCTTACTCCATATCTTGCCATTACTTTCCATAATAATTGTCTGTCGACTCTGTCAAATGCCTTCTCCTGGCCTACGAATGCCACAAATAAGTTCTTATTGTATTCAATGTTCTTTTCTATTAACTGTTTAAGTGTGAAGATTGCATCTGTGCAGCTTCTATTTCTCCTAAATCCCATCTGTTCTTCTGCCAGCTGTGGTTTTATCACTGGTCTCAGTCTTGTTTCTGTTATCTTGGCATACATTTGGCCAACATGGCTTAAAAAGAGAGATGCCTCGGTATTGACCGCATTCTCGTTTGCTTCCTTTGTTCTTCCACAATGGTATAACTATTGCATGTTGCCAATCAATAGGGGCAGTTTGTTGTACCCATGCTGCATTAAATATTCTGTGGAGCCATCTGATGCTGCTTTCACCTGCTGTTTGAATTATTTCATTCAGTCTTTCATTCAAAGGTTTAAAAGATTGCAATCTTTCATTCAAATGTTTAAAAGGTTGCAATCTTTCATTCAAAGATTTAAAAGGTTGCAATCTTTCATTCAAAGGTTTAAAAGGTTGCGATCTTTCATTCAAAGGTTTAAAAAGTTGCAATCTTTCATTCAGTAAAATTTGTCAATTTTAATCCATAGATTTAAGAAATGGCTGGAAAATAATCAGCCCCAGCAAATCGTTTGTTGTATATGCAGCCACAGCAACGGAGAAGAAGGAATGGATGGCACATATACGGAAGTGTGTCAACGATCTTCTGGCTCGGAGTAAGTTACTGTCCTCTTTGATGTTGGTGGTTGAGTAATTCAGATTCTACACTTGGAAGTTAGATATAATTATGTAGCAGATTCTACATTTGGGAGTTAGATATAATTATATAGCAGATTCTACACTTAGAAGTTAGATATAGCAGATTCTACATGTGGAAGTTATAATTATGAAGGAGATTCTACACTTGAAAGTTAAATATCATTCTAAATGAGATTCTACACTTAGGAGTTAGATATAGCAGATTATACATGTGAAAGTTATAATTATGAAGGAGATTATACACTTGAAAGTTAAATATCATTCTATATTAGATTCTACACTTAGAAGTTGGATATAATTCTAAAGCAGATTCTGCACTTGGAAGTTAGATACAAGTCTGTAAAGATTCTGCAGTTTGAAATTATCTATAATTTATATCAGATTCAACATTTGGAAGTTGGACACAGTTCTTTAGGAGATCCTAAATTTGGTAGCTAGGTAATTTTCTGGCAAATTATGCACTTGGTAGGGAAATCTGTGGCAGATTCTAAATTCAAGCAGTGAAGCTGTGAAATATGTACTTTACTACTAGTTAAGGCGGTAGGGTGACCAGATGGCTTCCTAGATAACTATCCTTATAAAACTCTCTAATAAAAGATTTGAACATGGGTGGTGCAAATGAATATATTAAATACTAATCTAGGATGGTTGCCAGACATTGAGTATATGCATAGTATTACAATATGTTAACAGGTTATTGAGGTTGTCTAGCATGCGTGCCTGTCATAATGTGGCTGTGGGTTCCAGTCACCTTCACGGTGGACAGTTACAAAAAATAAAAATAAACACAGTTAACCTGTACTTCCAGAGAAACCCTAAAACGAACATTGCTTAGAGAGACCAAAGTTGTGGACTACATTCTGTTTATGGTATCGAAAGAATTGCACAAGGTAGATGGAATGGAGGACTAGACGGAGCTCTGTGTGATGTAGAATGGAATGGAGGACTAGACGGAGCTCTATGTGATGTAGAATGGAATGGAGGACTAGACGGAGCTCTGTGTGATGTAGAATGGAATGGAGGACTAGACGGAGCTCTGTGTGATGTAGAATGGAATGGAGGACTAGACGGAGCTCTATGTGATGTAGAATGGAATGGAGGACTAGACGGAGCTCTGTGTGATGTAGAATGGAATGGAGGACTAGGCGGAGCTCTATGTGATGTAGAATGGAATGGAGGACTAGACGGAGCTCTGTGTGATGTAGAATGGCACAAGAGGGGGATATACTTCCAGGTCATCCCAGCTTAAGATTCTAGGAAATATAATAGAAAGTAGAGGTGAATAGCCTGATATTTATCACATGTCATGCAGGAGTGTTGGAAAATGAACAGGCAGACAGATTGGCTGGTTCTGCACCAATGGGGAGAAAATTTATGCATGACAAGCAGAACCTGATTAAGACCCTTTGGAGCAAGTGAACAGTGCAGAGGCACAGATAGATCATTGCAGTCTGGGGGTGATCGTTCAGCTGGGGATGACCAGGGAATCTGGTGGTCACTGACCTCTCAGGAGAGAGATAAGGTGGACATAGAATCTGACTGTTACAGGCACCATCAGAACCGAAACCTTTCATCAGCTGCTGAAGATGAGGATAGAGTGCTTATGGGGATGTCCTGAATGCTATGAATCATTTCTTAGCTCAACACTTAACATGCTTTGATCACATTACCTGTAGAGCTTCAGTTTGTTTATACAAATTTGAGTCTTGCACACTGTACACTTCATAGCACTGTAGCATTCAAAAAAGCATTTAAAAATCCCACGTGGATCTACACACCTGGTCATGCAGGCGTAAAGGGAAAGGAACGAGTGGACCAACTGGCAAGCACTGCACCAAGGCATGTGGGAAGAAGCATGGACAGAGCAGATATCATCAACACTTTACGGACTGGGCAAGTGGATAATGAGGAATCCCTGACACTAACACAGTTGTATGACATGGGAGTAAAGCATGGTGAAGCACGTCTATACAGTCTTCGAGGCCAAGATAGGAGACAATATAACCAGCTTCTCATGGGAACAATTAGTAGAAGTACTCAGGAGTGGCTGCTGCATCAGAGGACTGAGCACAGATGGGAATGCCCAGTGTGCAGTGACGTCGATTGTGATAACATAACATAACATAACATAACAGGGAAATGAGTATTTGTAATGTTTTAGCATGTTGGTACAACAATTACAGGAGGTATCCAGCAGTGTACAACAAATGACTCTCCTGTGTGGGTGCCTGACTCTGAAGCCAAGACCTGTATGCACTGTAGGAAATCTGAATTCACAGTTGTTAATAGAAGGGTAAGATGGGAGCGTGATTGTGTTGCACATTTACTGTGATCTGTGTTTTCTTGTACAGTTGCTATTTAAACCTTGACGTATCTTCTTGTCTGTTTATAAATGAAACTGTGAAGTATGTTTCCTGGAGAGCTACTGTTGGCATGGACTGAAAGTTACATGCATTCAGAAACAAATGCCCGAGGGAGCTCATCATCATTGTGTAGCAGGTCCTTTGCAGAATGTCGCTATCATCACAGCTGAGGAAGTTAATGAAAGTTAAACAGGATGAATTCAAGAAAGGTGAATAAATGTAGAGAAATTCCTCAACAGTGCTGGTATCAACAGTTATAGGACAAAGAAGTTTGCGATATACTCTGCATGTCCCAAGAAATGTCAGAGAAAGAGACTAAAAGGTGCAGATATGGATTCCATCCCTGCTATTAAAAGACTGCGTAGAATAGAAGGGAATGAAAGAATTGACTACGGTCCCTGCTGAGTTGAGTCAAGAATTGACATCACAGCACTCGGGGCATTCCCATGCATGCTCCTTCCTCATCTTCAGAAGCCCGTGCAGAGTTCCAGTACTAATGGTACCGGTCGTGATCTGGTTATATATCCGTCTTGCTTTCCCCCTGAGTGTAGTGAGCCGGCCAGCCCTCTGGTTATACCCAGGTGCATCATTCTCTCCAGGCAATAATAATCTTGTTTTGCTTCTGACTCCGTTGCTTGTTCCCAGAGGGCCATGACATCTGCCCTGTCATATATCCGTTCACCATTCAGTAGTGCAGATCCAGCCAATCTGTCTGCATGGTCATTCCCCACCACGCCAGCATAGCCTTAAGACAATATCCGAAATATGCTCACTACCCATGACCTTCCTAGTGAAGCTTGCCACTCTGCTCGAAGCATCCCTGTCTTCACCTTTCTCACCATGTTACAAATATGACATATGTATGCATCTTGTTCTCTAGCCATCGGAAAGCTGCAGTTACAGCCTCCACCTCCATTCTCATGCAGTCCCTGTATAATGTTTAAACAGCTCAACATAATGATGATGGTGTTTTGTTAAACTTTAAATTGCAGCTGTTTTTTCTCTCCTTACACATTAACTTAGAGCAGAGGTACACAACTGTGGCTCATTAACTTAGAGCAGAGGTTCACAACTGTGGCTCATTAACTTAGAGCAGAAGTTCACAACTGTGGCTCATTAACTTAGAGCAGAAGTTCACAACTGTGGCTCATTAACTTAGAGCAGAATTTCACAACTGTGGCTCATTAACTTAGAGCAGAAGTTCACAACTGTGGCTCATTAACTTAGAGCAGAAGTTCACAACTGTGGCTCATTAACTTAAAGCAGAAGTTCACAACTGTGGCTCATTAACTTAGAGCAGAAGTTCACAACTGTGGCTCATTAACTTAGAGCAGAAGTTCACAACTGTGGCTCAATAACTTAGAGAAGAAGTTTACAACTGTGGCTCATTAACTTAGAGAAGAAGTTCACAACTGTGGCTCATTAACTTAGAGCAGAAGTTCACAACTGTGGCTCATTAACTTAGAGCAGAAGTTCACAACTGTGGCTCCGTAGCTGCTCAGGGAGAATGAATACAAATTAATCAAGCAAAATTGAGGCTTAAGAAACAAACAAGTAGAATCGAAATAAGAAAACTAGAAATACAAGGTCCTTATAGATTTGACATCCATTTCCAAACTAAAATCTGCTTAAGAAATTGCTGCATTTACACAATGAAATCAAAATCTTGTCTGAGAAAGCACAGCTGGTATTGTTGCATATCTCTGTGAAGCCAGATTCTACGCTTATACAGCTACAAATTCAACATACAGATGGCGCTAAAATGCAGAACCAGACATTCGCCTACAGTTCACAACAATTGGACTTTAAATTAGAATGCTCTGCAAAATAACACACACAAAAATTCAGCCACAGGTGTCTCATTAAAAATGTGTGTTATTTTGTGGATCTTATTATTGCTCTCGCCAACAAGGTAAAATAGGTTGTAAGGCAAATGGCTTGATTTATGGAACTTTTGAATAACCTGTATGTATAGAAAAGTTTTGACAATATCAGGTGTATTGGCAGTAGTTAAGAATAACAGATTTATGTTACATTTCAGAGTTTCTTAAACATGATTTGATTGCATGGACATTGTGTAGTTGTTTAGAAACCCCTTTACATTCCCTTATTCTCTACCACTTTTTCCTGTACTCTGTAACATTACTTCTAAACACCATGAACTTGTAAATTGAAGGATATATCCTTCCGCATAGAAATTAGGTATCTTCTTCTGCTTGAAAGAGATTATTTATATCTGCAATGTTGTCTCTAGTATGAGCTTCACTGTCTTTTGTAATTGACTCAGCGACCCGTAAAGTTTGACTTGCACCAATGTTTCTCTAGGCCAACAGTTTTGCCTTGATATGTTGTATTTGGGACTGTCTTCGAGGACATGATCTGTTGTCTCAGGTGCCAATTGACATGTGCACATGGCTGATTCGCTGATTAAAAATTTTGTGAACTTGTGGCTGCGACGTCGATTGTGTCCTGTTCTAAAGCGTAGAATAATAACTTGCTCTGGTCTGTCCATAAAATTGGTAATTGTCTTGTGCTGATTTTGGTGGCTTTCTGATTTATTTGATTATTCTCTTCTTTTGTTGATAAGAGACTGGTACGTCAGGTTGTTCTTCATTTGCACCTTCCTTAGTTAGTTTATCAGCTCTTTCATTTCCGGAAACTCCACAGTGGGATGATATCCATTGCATAGTTACCTTACACCGGCTGCCTACTTATGAGAGTAGTGTTCGTATACCAGGTAGTTTTCCAGATTGGAGTGCCTGAAGCACCGCTCTTGCATCTCTCAGAAATACCATGGGTTGTGAATTATGACATATATTTAACATTTATTAAAATTGCCAGTCAGAGTCTGCCCTGGCTAAGTCGATGCGAATGCTTTGTAATGCCGGGATGTTCGATCCCAGCTGCCGGCCATGCGCCTTGCGTTGGTTTCGACAGTGGTATCAAGAAAGTTGACCGTCCAGAAAGCAATGGCAAACTACTGGACGTAAATTTGCCTAGAAAATCCACACAACAGCCAGGGGCTGTTGGGGTTGGTTCTGCAACCTCCTGTAAAGGATACGCAACTAACCTGCCAGTCAGAACAAGATAGGGAACCAGTTGCTTTGATTAATGTTTTTTTCACGTACTAAGTGAACTTATTTTGTCATTAATTTTCATTCCTGCCGCTAAGCCTTGTGGGGAGGAACAGTTTGCGATCCATTGTCATTCCATGTTGATGTAGAAGCTCTTTAATGTCATCAGTCCATATTCTCCTAGGGCATCCTCTTACTTTGATTTCAGATCTTTTTGTGTATAGCACCTGCGTTGTTAGATGTTCAAGCTGCATTCTTACTAGATGACCAAACAATTTGATCTTCTCTTCTCAGTGTATTTGCTGCATGGTTTTTTTCCTACAGTCCATCTGATAAAATCATTTCTAACTTTGTCTCAGTTAAATTTTATTTGGCAGTCAGATCACAAGGTGAAGTGATTACAAGTATTTTCCGGGAATATGTTTAGTAAAGCTAAATTTATAAACACCTTCAAATTAATCATTAGACTAAGAGAAGAGCCTTTCGTGACAGTTCAGGAATAAAAATACTGATGTTGAATTTCCGATGGATAGATGTAAAGATGTGCAGCTGGATATTGTGGTTTATGCATTTCAGCAAGAAAAGGGAGGAGCAGTTGGCAGAATGTGTTCAACGCTGGGCTCATAGGGAGACCCGGGTTCGAATCCTTGGTAAGACTGGGGATTTTTTCTGTCGGGGGCAAAATAAAATCCTCACCTGCGTAGTCGTGGCGACAGCACTAGCCATGTGGCCTTAAATCCTCTGTCTCAAAAGACCCCCCCCCCCCCCCTTACACAGCAGAAGTGGTATATAAAGCCAGTAATTGGCAGTTTTAGCAAGAAAAAGATTCTTTTTGTGCTTCATTATATGGTGATTGAACACTAGTAACTCATCTGACGAGATACAGCAAAGTATGCCAGACAAAAAATTGTGTAGTGTATTGTTTGTGTGTGCATTATTTAAAAATGTATCGCTACAATGGCCACTCCGTGACTGTTTGATTCACAGCATCACTGTCGGCAGTGTGGTATAGTGGCTTGTAACGCTTGCACCAGCAAGCGCTGGCTCCTCCCACAGCAGAGTTCCAAGCCAATCAGAGTGTGCTTGACTTGCTACCAGAAGCTGACACATGAAGCTGCCACAAACAGCTCCACCAAGAAATGTACGTATTTCAATTCAGTTTTTTTCCCCCATAAATCTGAAAACAGGGCAGAATTTTTGTGCGGAGCAAAACAGACTTACGATTAAAAAAAAAATTTAGTTCCATGACAGATGAGTTTGTTTCCTTTGAATTCAGAGTGCCTCTGCCTGAGAGCAGAGGAACCAACAGTCTGCATACACACACAAAAAAAGACCTGTTTCCACACCTTCAGAAATATTGGGTATTTAGTGCTAGATCTGTATTTTATAGACTGGTCGGCATTCAGTGGACGCTGTGTTCAACAACACACAGGCCACCTTTACTTCCCAGGACTTTACCTAGTACCCATTTAGGGCATTAGTTGACTGGGAGCCTGGGTCAATTTTTGAATGTCCGGCTCTGTTGGGATTCGAAGCCATGACCTTCAGATCTGCAGGCGAGTGTCTAGCCGCCACACCATGGCGGCTCAGCATACAAATAAGCTAGACCTTAAAAATGGACGTGCAGGCAAGACTCAATTTCTGGATCAAGAGTAAAATCCAAAACTGGACAAACAACCAGAATTTTCCGCCACAGTTTACCAACCAGGGAACACTTCTTCTGCCTTTCTAACCCCCAATAGAGCATAGGCCCTCAACCAACTCACGCCAGGTCGTTCTATCCTTCGCTATCGCATGCAACTCTCCCGATGTCCTCCCCATCTTTTTAACTTCACTCTCTAGCTGCATTCTTCTTGTGTTTTTGTTTTGTTTAGTCTTCTTCTGTTGTGAGTGCGGCAACACTTAGGAGATATAGACTCTGTTGTGAGTGCGGCAACACTTAGGAGATATAGACTCTGTTGTGAGTGCGGCAACACTTAGGAGATATAGACTCTGTTGTGAGTGGGGCAACACTTAGGAGATATAGACTCTGTTGTGAGTGGGGCAACACTTAGGAGATATAGACTCTGTTGTGAGTGCGGCAACACTTAGGAGATATAGACTCTGTTGTGAGTGCGGCAACACTTAGGAGATATAGACTCTGTTGTGAGTGCGGCAACACTTAGGAGATATAGACTCTGTTGTGAGTGCGGCAACACTTAGGAGATATAGACTCTGTTGTGAGTGCGGCAACACTTAGGAGATATAGACTCTGTTGTGAGTGCGGCAACACTTAGGAGATATAGACTCTGTTGTGAGTGCGGCAACACTTAGGAGATATAGACTCTGTTGTGAGTGCGGCAACACTTAGGAGATATAGACTCTGTTGTGAGTGCGGCAACACTTAGGAGATATAGACTCTGTTGTGAGTGGGGCAACACTTAGGAGATATAGACTCTGTTGTGAGTGCGGCAACACTTAGGAGATATAGACTCTGTTGTGAGTGCGGCAACACTTAGGAGATATAGACTCTGTTGTGAGTGCGGCAACACTTAGGAGATATAGACTCTGTTGTGAGTGCGGCAACACTTAGGAGATATAGACTCTGTTGTGAGTGCGGCAACACTTAGGAGATATAGACTCTGTTGTGAGTGCGGCAACACTTAGGAGATATAGACTCTGTTGTGAGTGCGGCAACACTTAGGAGATATAGACTCTGTTGTGAGTGCGGCAACACTTAGGAGATATAGACTCTGTTGTGAGTGCGGCAACACTTAGGAGATATAGACTCTGTTGTGAGTGCGGCAACACTTAGGAGATATAGACTCTGTTGTGAGTGCGGCAACACTTAGGAGATATAGACTCTGTCACCCAGTTCTGAATTTGCCTCAAAAAGTATGTGGCTGGCACCTTATGTTCATTACGCCTTTAAGTGTTTAAAAAAAGGAGCTGAAGTTTGCCAGTTAACTCTTTCTAAACCAAAGCTTGTGTTACACCGACAAATTTAATTTTTAGATGCATTAACTTGAATAATCCTTTTGAATCATGGACAGCTTGATGATTAGAGAAAAATTTATTTGGAAACGACAGAGAAGTGGTTTTATAGATGAATGATGAGAATACCCTGGACGGATAAAAAGAGTCATGAAAATGTCTCGAAAGAAACTGACTCATGAAAAGAACCGATTTCCGTCATTAGAAAGAGAACAATCTGAATTCTGTGGTTATGTTATGAGAAGGAGAAAACTAGAGTACATCGTGAGGGTGGGAAAGTTGAATGCTCAATATTGGATTAAGAATCAACATCATAGCACTCGGGACACTCCCATAAGTGCTCCGTCTGCACATTCAGCAGCAAGCAAAGAGTTCCAGTTCTGATGGTATCAGTAACTGTTTGATTGTGCATCTGTCTCGCCTTTTCCTTGAGTGTTGAGCGTCGGCCAGATCCCATGGGAACTCTACATAGCACCATTCTCCTCAGACCACAAGGATCTGTTTGTGCCTCAGCACTGTTTACTCACTCCCAAAGGACCCTCTTAATATCTACCTTACTTCACCACCACATAGTTCAGAACCAGCCAATCTATCTGTCTGCTCATTTCTCAGCACACCTGCATGACATGGAGAAAATATTCAAAGCACTCTAACTACCCGGGACCTCTGAAGCGATGTTTGTCTCTCTAAACAAAGCATGCCTGTCTTCACCTTTCTCAAAACACGCAGTGAGTCAGTCACGATTACAACATGTGTGTACAGCTGGGAAAGTTGGAGGGGAAAAAAGACAGAGGAACGCTGAGAGAAGATTCTCAACAGTTTGACATCATGGCATGGAAGATCTGCGTCAGAATTAATTGAAAGTACATGAGACCAAAAGTAGTGGATAGACGTGACTACAGACACCACATGGCGTGGACAAAGACTCAAAAGTCTGGGTGCCTGAGTAGATACAGTAACAGGTTTATGGAACAGGAGAAGTTGCAAGTAAGAATTGGTGCAGAGTGGAAGAGAAGAACACCTGGATGGATCAGAAAGAACTAACTTAAGTCACGTGACTACAGTGAACTTCTTCTGGTGACTAGACAGACTCGATGCATCGAAAGAAACCATTCATATTTCAGTTGGATTTTTTCAGTTTGTTTGCTTCATTTTATGTTAATTAACTCTGTAGTAACGCACCTGACGAGATACATAGAAAATGCCTAGCAGTAAATTGTGCATTTATTATTTGTGTTCTCATTAGTTAAAATAAGTAACAACAGTATAAGTGGTACCAAATGAGTTAAGTGATTCCAGAGACATGAATGTTAGAAGATGATGGGTGTTTTACCAGAGAGTTTGGTCATTTCAGATACTGTAATAGCTACAGGAAGCAATAGGGATTCCTCTGGCGAGGACTCGTCTGATGATGATGATGATGAGCAGGCAAGGGATGGCATGCCTTCTAGAGACCAGGCTGGGGAGTTATCTATTCATGATGTAAGGAATATTGTGTGTGCACATGTGTTCTCTCATATACCATACTGTCTTTTCTGATCTCATATACCATACTGTCTTTTCTGATCTCAAATGCCATGCTGATTGAGGCATGCTATATTTTCTTTTCTGATCTCATATACCATACTGTCTTTTCTGATCTCAAATGCCATACTGATTGAGGCATGCTATATTTTCTTTTCTGATCTCATATACCATACTGTCTTTTCTGATCTCATATGCCATACTGATTGAGGCATGCTATATTTTCTTTTCTGATCTCATATACCATACTGTCTTTTCTGATCTCATATGCCATACTGATTGAGGCATGCTATACTTTTTCTGTCCTGTCTCTCCCACTAAAACATAGGCCCTTACCAACTCACGCCATGTCACCCTTTCCTCTGCTATTGCTACCAGCTGACCCCAAATTCTCTGTCTTTTAACTTTACTCTCTAGCTCTCTTCTCCATGTGTTTTTTGGTTTGCCTTTATTTCGATACCCTCCTCGTATGGGTTCCAGGGCCACATTGTGGGGAAAGTGAGAATAGTAAATCTGCCCAAGAGGCAAGGAACAACCAACTACACACAAATAAGCCAGTAAAACTCAGGCCCTAGCACGAAGCAAAGACCACATGGATGAACAACCAAGACTTTCCACTGGAGCTTACAGCCGTGAACAAAGAAGAAAATTTCTGTACTCTTGTGGGTTCCAGGGCAAAGATATTCCAGTTATATTATTCTCAGGTTTTTCTCAATGTGTCCTATTCAATGCCAGCATCTTTTCTTCACCTCTTGATTCTGCAATTTGTTTGGTTCTCTCCCAAAGCTCAACATTAGTTATTCTTTCTTTTGTCCATATTCTTCTTTGCTAGACATCACAGGTTAACAGATGATCAATACCTGAGCTAGGGCACGCTTGTTGCCTGGTAAGCTGTGATGTGGAGTCTCAAGATATCAATAATTATTGTTCCAATAATTCTTGCAATTTCTTTGTTTTTCACATGATCTCCACATGGGTATTTCAGATGAAAATCTTAAAGGTGTGATAAAAATTACAATAACCATGCTATTGTCGTATAACCTCACAATATTGTTGTTTAGGATGTCAAGAGTGGTAAGCATATGCACAAAAAATGAACAGCCTTCTGTCATTTGTCTTTTTGATCAATGAAGGGTTTAAACCTATTTTTAAAAAAGTCATTGGTTAATGAAATTTTCATATGGGGATGTATGTCTGTCAGTCCAGCAAGTGTATGAGCAGAGGACAAAGTTTCAAAACAGTAGGACTTGTGGGATTGACCCGGTTGTGAATGAGGACTTTACCTGGTACCCCACTATTCACATAAATAGAGGGGAAACCCTTGAAGCCCTAGAAATATTATATATATATGTGTGTGTTGTTCATCAAGATGATGATGATGACCACACTTTTTCATCAAGTAAGAGTACGAAGATGACTGATGAGGCCGATGTGGGCCTGAAAAGTTCTTGGACAGTGAGGGCAGGGAATGAGCATTGTGCCAGGGAGAGGATTTCCTGCAGTCGCCTTTCTGTCCATCCTTTTCTTAATCAGTCTTGCCGTTCTGTTTACTTCACATGTAGCCGCGCCCTTCTGCACGCCATGCATTCGGTCTTATATATATATATATATATGAAATTAACATAGAGACAGTGTATTGATTTGCACTCATAGAAAGATGTAGAAAGGTAGAAGGACAGACTAGACAATATAAAAATCAAAAGCTATAATTACTGTGCTGGAGATCAAACCTGTCACCTCCAGACGGTGTGTGCGCCTCGCTATGGAAACAAGCGTACTAAGAACACAACCACTAAGCACCCCTCCCCCCTAAAGGTGTCTTCGTTGGCATGTCTATCGTACAGCTTGAAATCCACAACTATGGAATACGGACAGAATTCATCTCAAACCATTTAAATGGCACCATAAGTTACAGAAATTTATATTAACGAAGCATAGGTCCAATAACAAACACAGCAACAATTTACAATCGCAGCAGATCGTATTGCTTTGTCAGATTTAATTTCCAGCATGATAAGTATAGCTTCCGATTTTCATGTTGTCTGGTGTGTCCTTCTACCTTTCTACTTCTTTCTATGAGTGCCGATCAATACATTGTCTCCATGTTTAGGCTCAGTTAACCAGGAAGCCATGGGCCGCATAGATTCTTTTTTTTTTTATCGTTCACCGGCTGTGAATTCCGGCGGAAGGTCCAGGTTAATCGTCCGCTTGGACTTTTGGCTTTCACCTGGGCCTGATTTTTGCATGTGCAACCGTTTTACTGTTCCCTGCCTCATGGGCAGCTGTACTCCGACTTCGAAGGAAGATGTCAGGCCTATTTCTAGGATGACTGTGGCCATTGTTTTGTGTGGTGTCCACTTTGTCTCCTTCTCCGCAGGTATTGCCCCCGTAGTACCCATTTGGGGCAGCCTCCTGTGGAACGGTAAGCCCTCAAGGGAAGGCAGGGGCAGATCATAGGCATTCCCCGCCATCCAAGAAGGCTTCCATGTATGCAGAGCCGGCACATGGCGCTCTGGTTCTGGGCTCACCCAAGGAAACGTCACGTCCTGCACATGCCTGCTTAACCTCACAACCGTATTAGGCTTCCCGCTCGACAAGGGCTGCGCCCTCTGGAAGTCAGCGGGGAGCAGCCCGTGGGTTTTGGACTTTTGTGACCACCTGAATAGGTACATTTTTGTTTTCTTCGCACGTTGGATTTCTTTGACGAGCCGTTAGCCCGACAGAATTCAACATCCTGCGTCAGGCATATCGTTATCAGTTTGGTCCAAGCACTCGGGCGAGTGGGGTCTTTTGGTGTGGACATTTGGTCTTTTTCAGTTCAATACAAATTGTGATGGTCAGATTTTGAGCTTATTCGTGTGCCGTAGGATCTAGTTTTGTCAGACATTTAGGCTTAGCCAGCCAATTGGCTGTTGCTGTTGTGGTGTACCTCAGCGCGGTGACGACGACACAAAGGGTTAACCGAGGATGTACATGGATGGCCAGCCTAGGGATGGTTGCTGTTGTGGTGTACCTCAGCGCGGTGACGACGACACTGAGGGTGAACCGAGGATGTACATGGATGGTCAGCCTATGGATGGTTGCTGTTGTGGTGTACCTCAGCGCGGTGACGACGACACTGAGGGTTAACCGAGGATGTACATGGATGGCCAGCCTATGGATGGTTGCTGTTGTGGTGTACCTCAGCGCGGTGATGAAGACACTGAGGATTAACAGAGGATGTACAGTGAACAATGTTCTCTTCTCTCCGCAATCTTTTAACCAAGGGTTGTGATTTTAGCTGTACGTTTGGCAAGAATACTCATGTTCCTAATGAGTTTGATAACCTTTTTCACCCAAGCGTTTGGGGGCGGGCTGATGAGAGCCACATGGACACATCACCTCTGGCAGCCGCCAATCTCCGAAATCCCCTGGCAGCTCTGTTAATGCTCATTTGAGACATTATCCGTGGCGCACAACGATTACGTGCTGCAGGGGTCTTGCGTGAGGTTCCGTTAAACCAGAACAGTGAAGGACTGGCGCCCGAGTGACGTACGGAGTATCTCCTTATACACATGATGTTGGACTTAACTTCCCCTCACGCCTGTGACATAAATCATCGCGCCACGCATAGATTCTATTTCTGATTGTATTTTTATCTGTAAATTGATTGAACTGTGATTGTTAGCATTTGTTTCCCTGTAGGCACACTTCCAGAGTTACAACTAGAGACCGAATGAACTAGGAAGAGTCCTGTGTCAGAAGTTTGACCTACCAGACAGGACCTGGTGTTTATGCAACAAATTACCAGAAGGGAGCATTTCCAACTGTCCTTGCTGCTGTGTCTGGCAGCATAAAAGTGAACAGATTAATAAGCATTTGTTACAACTGAAGAAGATGCTGTGATGTCTTTTATCATGCGGATTGTTTTCTGAGATTTTGTTTGCCCATCGATATCTGGTGATAATTAAACAACGACTGTAATGAATAGAAATATTTTAAACACAGACTTTTAAATATTTGAATTATTATTTTCAGTGTGCATTTACATGTTTGAGTTGGTAGAAAAAGGTGTTTTAATATCCCTTATGGGGGAAGTGGTAAGGCAGCGGTTGATGCTATTACTTAGCCCCCCCCCCCCCTCTTCCCCTTTTCCCCCACTAGTCTTGGACTCAAACTCTAGTATTTACAGTGTTGACTTTATGTTGATCAGGATGGCAGCCCCAAAAAATTAGTAGCAGTTTTTTCTGGTAGCATAATGTAATCTGTGAATCTACAAAACCAGTAAGAATTTGAATTGATGGAAGAATTGTATTGTAATCAGTAGTAGAAAGAATCCCAAGTCTTTCTGGGCACGGTTGTTTGATGATGTTTGGCTCTTTCACCAAGCGTAAACTCTTTGAAATATGATTTTTTTTTTAAAAAGATCAGAGCTGCATACATGCAAAGAGAATAGTATTAATCATGACCGAAAGCAACACTTTGAACCATCATCTTCATCTTTCTCCTGCATGAAATAAAGCGATAAGTCACCTGCTCTTATAGACAATGCCGCCATAAGAAGTGGTCCTTCCATGGGCAGAGTGGACATGATCAATGTTATATAAGAGATAAAATGGGATGAAGACCTCAAACATAAGGATAATATATCTCTGACCGGGAAACAAAGTCTAGGTATACCAGTTTTTAGTTGGAGCCGCGTGACGTGAATACCAGTGCAAGAGCTGACAGCTGCTACAGAAACCAATACACAGCAGGAGTCGTCAATGTAAACACAACCAGAAACAGAAGGTTGGAGCACGTATGGGCGTCCCTGACGTGCTGTGAAGATGGTCTTGACGTTAATACGAAGATTCATCAGATTTCTGAATTTTTCTTGCATGCCAATGTCTGGAGGTTTTCTTATTTATTCACCTGCTGTGAGCTCTTGCAGAAAGTGCAGATTGTTGGTCCATTTGTACTTTGAATTTTTTGCCAGGACCTGAGTTTTGTGTGTACATCACTTTTACTGGTGTTTTTGTGTGCAGCTGGTCGTTCCTTGCTCCTGGGGCTGATGCACTCTGACTTCAGAGGAAGTCCCTAAATTAGTTGAATCCTACGACATGGTTGTGAGTTTCAGCCTTCTGGATTTTTATGAAAACTGACCAAGATCCCAGAATTCTTCGGCTTCTTCTCTTTCAACTGTAGTTTCTTAGAGTAGAGATTCTAAGAGTTTTAACGATGCATTTCTCATTACATTTTCAAAAGGGTCATTTTTATGTATCCTTTCAATTCAAAGGATTGATTATATATATCCTTACAATTCAAAAAGTTTAAGGCCGAATGAAAAAAAAAAAAGTTATTCAAGTATTTTACTATTTGTATATAATTATTTCAGTATTCAGCTAAATGCTGCTCCTAATGTTCATGTGTTAAGAAAACCTTGTCCACTGTAAGAGTTATGGTGGCTATATCTTACAGCCTGCTAATGTCACCAGTGTCTGAAATTCTTCTTCTTCCGTGCTTTATCTCTTAGCAGAGCATTAGGCCATCACCCAACTCAAGTCAATTCATCCTGTCCTATGCTGTTGCATGCAGCTGACCCCTTGTTCTCTCCATCTTTTTAACTTCACTCTATTGCTCCCTTTATAATGTGTTTTTTGTGTGTGTGGTCTGCCTTTATTTCTATGCCCCTATGGGTCCCAGTGCAAAAACATTCTAGTTATATTGTTTTTAGGTTTTCTCAACTTGTGTCCGATCCAGCACCAGCATCTTTTCTTCACCTGTTGATTCATCTTTAGTTGTTCAGTTCTTTCCCGGAGCTCAACATCAGTAATTCTGTCATACCATTGAATTGCCTCGGTTCTGGACCACAGCCGTTAATGATGCCTACGAAAAGGCAGGCAGCTGGAACCATTGGTATGGGAACACTTTATTGGCTGCTGAAGAAGGGGACAGCACATATGTTGGAATGCCTTGAGTGCAGGGATATCAGTTCTGGATTCATTCTTTGTGTCATGTAGAAGTGAAAGCATGATCATAGCAGTGTCATAATGATCTCAGTTGTTATGGTCACCATCTTGGTTATGGGGGGGGGGGGGGAACAAGAATAGACCCACTGCCTCCCCAACAAGCATGTCGTGGGAGTCGACTGATTGGGGGCTTTCCTTTTAAGTCATAGTGCATCTGCCACATAGACAAGGAACTTACAGTCTGCATATAAATAAGCCAGATCTGTAATGCAGATGTGCACACAAAACTCCAGCTATGGAACAAGACCAGAGTCTAGAAGCAGACTTACAACCAGAACTTTCCGCTGGGAGTTACAGCTGGTGAACGTGAAAAAGAAGAATTATTAAGGTTCAACAAGTATTTAACAGCTATAAAAGAAAATGAAATCCTACTTAAATGACATTTTTATGTGCCAGTGAAGGTTGGTTGCAGTGTACCTACTGCTGTCTTTGGGAAAATTACATGATAAGGCCCCAGTCTCTTCCACAGTGTGATTCTCGCACCAATGTCCAAATGTCATTACTTTTTTGGGAGGGTTAAAAATTAACTTCCCACCAATGAAATCACACCTTGGTATGACCAGGATTGTGACAGTGTGAAACACATCTACTGACCTCTAAGCCCAGAGTCTCACACTTTTATGCAACTATACTGTTAACATAAAATTAGTTGTTTATGCATCTTATTCTATATTTTTGTACATGTTTAGCAGTTCAGCACGTAATGTTACTGTGGCCGCATTTAAACATAATCTGTGAGAATACACATACATTGTGTCAGCATGGTTTTATAGTTAATCATATGTTTGATGGGCAGCAGTCATGACATTGACAGTCCGCCATTTGCTTCATATCAGTCTTTCCCATTTGGTGGTTAGACCCGGAAAATGTTTTTTTAAGGTGTTCCTGATATCATCATCATCATCAGGGGTGCATCCCACTCACACACACACAAACAAACACACTCACTCACTCTTATCCTCTCAATTTCAGAATGCTTTTGTTTTTGTCATTCTAATATTTATAAATGAAAGTAGAATGGCACCTGGGAATTTAAACACTTTAAAATTCAAACAACTTGGAACCAAAACAAAATTGTTAAGTAAATTTTGGCTTGGAACTTGAACACCGCCTTGGAATGGGAATGCCCGGCACGTGCTAGCCAAGCACTGCCTAATTCTTCAGGGAAGGGAGTGGGAAAAGCTGCAAGGATTAGCACTGCTGAAATCCAAGATCTGTTGACCGTGTGGTCGAAAACGCAAAAAGTTCTTGAGAGGTGGCACCCTAATAGAGCCCTAGTTAACAGATATGTTAATTCAAGGATAAAATTATCAAACATTTTAGAAAAATCAAATGGTCGCCAACATTCTGGAGCGCTGGCTCTCAAAAAAAACCACAAAAAAACTAATGATCCCCAATCCCTACACAAGCCGTGAACAACTACAATATGAAACACTAGAAAGGATTCCTAATGTTATCATGGAAGCGTGACCCACCTTCCAGACAATGATCTTCAAAACCCTCCTTCCTCCTACTTCTATGTCACCATTTTTTATCTAGGTACAGTACATAAATGTTATTTTCTTTTTTCCTAAATTATTTATGTTTTTATTCAAATATGATTATTGTTTGTTACTATATTTACAGTGTTGTGTATTAAGGAATATACATTTTCAAATTAACTTTCTTGGACCTCGGAACTCATTAATTTAGTTTCATTTATTTTCAGTGGGCAAAATTGCCTTACAGCTCAAACGATTTTGAATTTGATCACCGTCTCTCAGAGCAGATTGTGTTCAAATTCTAAGGTACCACTGTAATTCTTCATCCCCATTTGGGTTTCAGGGTCCTGTTGTGGAAGGGGGTGGGAGGATAAATCCAGTACCCTTCCCCCTACCAGCAAACCTGTCGTAAAAGTCGACTAATTAGGGATGTTGCCTTCGGAGTCACATTGCCTTTACCTGAGATGAGAAGTCAACAGTCTGCATACAAATAAATCAGATTTGTAAAACGGATGTGCCTGCAGAACTCAAGTTCGGGAACCAGGCTAAGGTCCAGAAGTAGACAAACATCCAGAACTTTATGTCACTTTATAGCCAGTGAATGAGTTGAAGAAGAAGTAATGCTTCAGAATGACAGTTAACAAGTATGGAGGTCCAAAACAGATCTTTTAAAATAAGAGTGGTTCGCAGGTCTTATCACCTTGGGAACCATTGCTGTAAGATGGTTTTCAGTTAGGCCACACAGACAATTACATCTCAGCTTTGTATTTTTAATTCAAAAAGATGACAAGTGACCTGTTGCCAAAGAACTTTTGATCAGTGATCACTTATTTGGTGTGTAACTACTTGCTGATCTGTGTAACTGCTGCTTCCGTCAATGATAAACTGCTTTCTAGTGTTGGACTGTTTGTGTTGGCACATCTGACTGTTGCCTTATGCATTGAATGCATGTGTATGCTATTGGATTTGCTGAGACTAGTCTGTGTACATTTTCTCACAAGGGAAAGTGATGGACATTGTGTGTGCTTTTCATTCGCACAGGAACAGAGCAACTGCTCAGTGACCAGTTAACTATGGAGTTGGAATGGTGTTTACATCTAGAAACACTGATTTGCAACTACAGGAGGACAGAGGTTTTTGTTTAAAGTTAATCAGAAGGAACTGAAACATGCCTGGCCTGAATGATGTCAGTAGTATGGGACTAGGTGAACACCAGCAGTGGCAGCTTGTGAGTGCC